TTATAGTAAAAAACATTAGTGTCGTACTTACATACCGTTAGCAAAATTATTGAGTAATTTGGAATATAGAATATTTGTATAAAAATATAAAATGTTTTAGTGTATATTAGTAATGATTTTAAAAGCAACATTTTGTTTCAAAACGTGAGTCACGCACAATACGGTCTTGACCAAAATCTTTGCATACTGTTCTATATTGATGCTATTGTCTACATGCATGCATGGAGTAGTTATGGACTAAATGCCCGATAAAAGATGGTAGTGTATGATCGGACAAACATGTCTGAGTTGTTATTACGGTCTGTATAAGTTGTTTTGAGCATCTGTTTGTCAGAACACACATACACATCTATTTTGTATAAGATAGTATGCTTTTGGTATAATATTTTTCGAAACAAATCAACGTTTTGTTCAGACAATTTTCTGTACTTGGTGTAGAGTTATGCCTCGTCACGTGATAGAAGTTATAGGGCGTCAAATTGTTCGACTGTTCGGAAATGGTATGAAGCAACGGACATTGCCAGAACAGTAGGGTATCCCCAGTGTACTGTATCTAGAATCCTGAAGCGTCATCGGACTACAGGAAACATTGTTCCAGGAAAGTCTAATGGTAGACGCCGAAAACCTACTGCCAGAGATGACCGTGTTTTGATCAGGGGCAAAAGAAGTCTTTTGAACACATGAACACATTCATTCCAGCGTATACAGAAAAACAGTAAATAAGAGACTGACCAAACAAGGTTATTTTGCAAGAAGGGTTATCTACAAAACGATAATAACCATAATTCACCGCCGTCACCGTGTTACTTGGGTAAGACTGCATGACAATCTACAATTAGGAAACTGGCGACATGTCATCTTTTCAGACGAGTCCTGTTTCATTCCGGCTTGTTAAAGCTGATGGTAGGATTCGTGTTCGTCGTTTTCTTGGAGAAAAGATGAAGGAAGACTGTTTTTCCCACAGGAGATGGTGCAGTACATGTTTGGCCTGCTATTCAACATGGTAGAAAACTGCGCTCCATATCTTCCAGGAAAACGCCTCCTACAGGCGTCACATGGAGACGATATTTCTTCCACATTCTATGGCAAGGTTTCACAATAACGTTTTGTTCCAGGATGACAATGCCACTTCCCACAGTGCGCCTATTGTACGGGATTATTTCGACCAGGAGGACGTTAGAACATTACCATGGCCAGCGAAGTATCCAGATTGTAATCTCATTGAGAACTGTTGTGCAGAACTGAGCCGAAAAAAAGCGATAACCACGGCCCTAAACTAGCTACTTTAGTTGAGTTGCAGCGCCTTCTAGTGACAAGGAGGACCAGCCAAGTACTGGATGTTTAATATAACTTATATAAGGTTACAGACACTATTTCTAATAATTTTATGTTAATATTTTGTCATTATATATGTTTTGATAAGGTTTTGCTGTGATAGGTGAAATGCTGAATTACACATCTTTCCACAGATGTCTGATAGAATTGTTTGCAGTTCTAATAAATCGTTCATGATGTTTACAGAACCGGTCTCATTATACAAATTACATATGTAGATGTTTAATGTAACATGTATTTCTCAGTTTGGCAGCACAAAGCGTATTTGTGTTCTATCTTAATAATAATGATCTTATTTGTTACAAAATATGCAAACATTTTGGACAAGACTGTACCTTCATCTTGAAAACATATTTTCTTCAAGCTATCATGTGATTATTGTTTATTTAGTAGGTTAGTTTCCATTCTTACAGTGTTAAAATCCAGGATTCGATTCCTCGCAGATAACTCATTGTGTAGCTTTGCGCTAAAACAAAATCGCACACATTTATGAAACATTATTTTTATTATTAATGTCATTTGTCTTCAGTTAAAAAAACGCAATTAATTAAGTATTTCGGTGAAACATACGGTAATAACCACGCAATCCCCCACTAATCGGGTGAATTTACCGAACGTAGGACATTAGTATTACGTTATGCTATCTTCATTCTGCTAAACGTGATATACACGCTGAACAACCTAACTATATTATGGAAAAATCGATACGAGTAAGAAGAAATACAACGCTATAAAGATGCGTTTCATATTTTTTTTCTGTGTGACGCTTAGCTTTTTGAAAAGAGGAAACAATAGGTCATTTATTAAAAAATAACCTAAACAATGTGAAACACGAATTCGAATTAATAGTTATAGCTCGTTTTAAAAAGGCGTGCAAAATTATGCGGAAATCGTGAAATGCTGAATCACTAAAATATTTTACATTTTAAAGGTTAACTTTTAAATAATGTGGCCTTCTCCATAAATAAAAGTATAACACTGTACGAACACGCAAATCGTGTAGTTCAGTCATTCATCGGTTAATTTAATTTTTCTCAATCTTGATCCATCCATTCATCATTTGCCTGTCCGTTTTTCATTCATTCATTGATTTATAAATTGAACCTCTTAAGCATATGACTCATTAATATTAAGCATTCTCTTAAGTATGCATCATTAACATAGACAGTTTGCAGGATATTTTCATAGAATTATGTTTACAAGAGGAAAAAGATCTAGATATCTCGCTCATAATATTAGGTGAACAAAACAAGAAGTGGAATTGGCTAGTTTACGGTTTTTTATAGACACTTCCACATATTTCTTGTTTACTAACTCATTTTATGTTCATTAAACACGAACGTTTGTCGCTTCAAGAGGAGAGGTGCACAGTGGCTATCTGCACTGTGCCTACTGCAGGAAGCGAACCCTGAATTTTAGCGTTATAACCTGCCAAGCTTATCCGTCATGTGGCTAATGCTCATAGACAAAAAAAGGGGTTTGTTTGTTTGTTTGAAGTTAAGCATAAAGCTACGCAATGGGCTATCTGTGCTCTGCCCATAACGGGTATCGAAACACGGTTTCTAGCAGTGTAAGTCCGCAGACATACCGCTGTGCCACTGGGGGCAAAAAAGGGGGTGTTTAAAACACGTTTTTACAACCGCTTAATGGATGGCTTTACCAAAAAAAAGGGACAGGAGGTAAAAAGAAACAAAATTCTTACCAAGAGAAGGTTTCTTCCGAATGTGTTACTTATCAGTTTTTATTCCAAACCGTTTTTTAAATACTAAAGAAAATTGCTTTTGTGTTGCAGTCATATTTACAATTAACCATATTTATCTAAGTTATTAACTTTACGGAAAACTATATGTATATCAGTGCTCACTAATATAAATAAATTACAGGCTTTCTTAACTTTCAGCAGTAGTGCAGGAAATGGGACCGACCACGCGTCGCGACGTCACATGCTAACTTATTGATCGATAAATAACAAAGCAAAATATGGTTCGAGACACAGGGTTTAAAAACTTAGTGTCGTCTGATAAGCAGAAAATAATTTATTTAGGAACTCTT